CTCCCCCTCCCGTGAATTGTAAGCCGCCCTGAGTCCCCTCAGGGAAAAGGGCGGCCTATAAATAATAAATAAAATCAAAATCAAAGTGTTCCTGCTTCTGTTGGTGCTGCTGCTTCTAGCCAAATTCTATCGCCCCTCCCTTAACTCCCAACACTACAAAACTGTGGTCTGCAAGCATTGAATTAATTTATGCATGTTCTGTTTGTCCAAGAACTTGCTTCACTTTAAAAGAGGCCGGTGTGAAATCACAGGGATGATGGCGGTGACGTGGTTGATTTCAGTCTGGATGGCGTGGGGAACATTGGGGAGTAATGTCCATTTGTACAAAAACGATAACCAGGATGGGAGATGCATTTATTCCTTCACGGTACCCAGTAAAAATGAAGACAGCTGTGCTGGCTTAAGCGAAGTATTAATCACCATTCAAGATCTCCAACGGGAGAGCAAAGCTCAGCATCTGGAACTTGTGTCAACCAGAACGCGGCTTGGTCTTCTGGAGAACCAGGTGAATCAGCTACATGGAAGTCAAATGAGGAGGACTTCTTTATCTACAGTTGGCCTGCTTCAAAGGGAGGTGGAGAGTCTGAAGAGGGAACAAGCCCAGAGGGACATCCACATCAGCAGCCTGGAATCTACCATAAACGATCTCCTTCAAGACAAGTCTGCTTTGGAAGAAGGGAAGAAAGAGCTGGAAGAGGAGAAGAATAAGCTGGAGAGAAGGTTAGAGAAAAGCATCGAGGAGGTGGCTCAGCTGAGAGGAAGCGATTGCTCTCAAACCAGAGAAGCCAGCAGTGATCTCCATCCAGGCTCTCAGGAAGGTAAATCTGGAGGCTCTCCAGCTAGGAAATGTGCTCTTAAAAATCTATAATGTACCATTATAAGTTATTTATTTTTAATTAATCATTTTTAAAGAAAGAAAGCAAACAAGTGAAGCCAATGTTATGAAAATAAGTTAGGGAAACGCCTGAAAATTTAGTCATGGAAACAAAATACATTATTTTTAACCAATAAAGAAGAGGATTTTTGAGTCTCTTGAGTGCCAGGGTCTGCACCAGGGGTGGATTTCTCGCCCCGTTCCAACCGGTTCGGTTGGAACGGGGCCGGCGGCGTCCTTGTGCACGCGCGCAGTGCACGCATGCGTACTAGCGCCTGTGTGATGCTCCAGCTGCTCCTGGAGGATTGCACAGGCACTGTATGCGTTCTGCGCATGCGTGGAATCACAGAACTCGTCAAAACCGGGTAAGAAATGCGGGCGGGCGGGTGGATCCTTCAGTGTTCCCAGACCAACCGGTTCGCGGGGACCGCCGCGAACCGCCTGAAACCCACCCCTGGTCTGCACCATTTAGTTATTTAAAGATAGATTTTTTTTTTAACAAAGAGCAAAGGGGAAGAGAAAAAAAAACTATT